GATCTAAAATCCCTCTTTAAATGACATTTAATCCCAACTGCTCTGGGAAAATTCACATGGCAGCACCAGCTGTTTTGGGACACACTTCCATACCCCAAAGGCTACAGAAGTGGTCAGATTCAGGCACAAAGGAGCATCATTTCCTCAGAAAATCAGCAGTCATGGGTGCAGGAGAACTTGTTACCTGTCTAACAGGAATAAACCTGCAATATATTGGCATTTTTAATGATGCTCTTACATCACACAGAACTTTCTGTCATGTGCAGGGCCAGGAGTTGGACTTGGATGATCCTCCTAGGTCCCTTCCACCTCAGGATATTTGGTGATTTAATCATTTTAATATAATATATATTGCCTGGAAATTTGATTTCCATACTCTCTCACTCCATTACCAGGCTGGACTTGTACTTCCCTTCCTTCCGCAAGGTTCCCTAATCAAATTTTTTCTTTAAAACCCCTCAAAAAAAAAATTTTTTTTTTTTTTTTCCTTTCTCTAAAAGTCAGGATCATTTCAGATCTCTCTGGCCCTGGCAGTAACACCCTAACTGGAACAAAAGCAAATTAAAACAGGCAGTAGGGGAAGAAAATTCCCTTCTTTATGTTCCAAACTGCCCAGATGTAGCACCAAATCCCCTAAAACATCTGTCCCAGTGCTCCGCTTACCCTCCTTCACTCTCTCCATCATCTGTGTTGAGATTCCCTGAGCTGGCTGAGAAATAGATGGAGCTGGAGGCTGTTGAGTCACTTCTTTCCCTGGAGAAGGGGAACTTCCTCCGGCGAGTCACACGCTGGGTTTCTTCCAGGTGGGCCCTGGAGGGAAAGAAAAAGGAAGAGAAATAAATGTTTGGTAATGAAATGTCTGTTATTCCCCTTCTCCTCTCCAGCAGACTCCACCCAATTCCCATTCTAGACAAAGAATTCACGAGGTGTTTGTACAAACTTAAATGGAGCTAACTTTGTATTCTGTATAATATATAGCATATAATATATATTTTATATATTGCATATATATATTCTATATACATATTTATATATAATATATATGTTTTATCTATTATATAATTTTATATAGATATAATTATATAATAGATAATGCGTTACATAGACAATTATAGTTATATAATATATATCATATTATATAATGTATTATGATGCATTATGTGTTAATGCATTATGATTGTATTATTATATAATGCACATTGTATAAAATGTAATATATAATGATATAATAGATATTATATATATAAAATTATATGAAATACATTATATAATAGAATGTATCTAATATATCTGCAGGTAAAGCAGACCCTCCTCCATGGACAACCCATGGACAATCCATACAGGATCCACAGATGTGATGTTCATCCAGCCTCTGCACCAGGAACTGGAGTGACAGAGCAGGTTCAGAGTTAAAGAGGGAAATTTAGGTTGGATGTAGGGTATGGATCTTTCCCTGTGAGGCTGGTGCAGGATTTCCCAGGGAAGCTGTGGCTGCCCCCTCCCTTGGGAGCGCTCCAGGACAGGGCTTGGAGCAACCTGGGCTGGTGGAAGGTGTCCCTGCCCGTGGGTGGGTGGCTCTGAGGTCCCTCCCAGCCCAGGAGGATCCCTGGAAGCCGTGGCTGTTTTCCCGTGCAGGCAGGGGCTGCTGCAGGCCCGGGAGAGAGGGGCAGCACCTGACTTCCCCCACGATCTCCATGGCCAGCTCCTGCAGGCTGCTCCGCACCGCCTCCACCTCCTTCCTCAGCTCCGCCACGTTCCTCACCACGAAGTCCAGGCGCTCCAACAGCTCCAGCTGCTCCTCCTGCCTCAGCAGGGGGCTGGGCACGGCTCCATCGCTGGTGCCCGCCAGGAGCAGAGCCCTGGGCACGGCCTGGCCTGCAGCAGAGCACAAGGAGGCCCTCAGAGTCCCCCCCAGATTCCAGGGGGAGGGAGATGTCACCACGGCTCTGTTGGCAGGGAAAGGCTGGGAGAGTTGGGATTGTTCAGCCTGGAAAAGCCAAGGATCTGCAGTGACTCAACTGCCCCTTGAAGGAGCCTGAAGGAGAAAAGACTCTTTACAAGGGCCTGGAGTGACAGGACAAAGGAGAAAAACTCCAAACTGGAAAAGGGGAGATTTAGATGGGATATTGGAAGGTGCCGTTCCCTGTAAGGGTGTTCAGTGCCTGGCACAGCCTGCCAAGAGAAGCTGTGGCTGCCCCATTCCTGGCAGTGTCCAAGGCCAGGATGGACAGGGCTTGGAGCAACCTGGGATAGTGGAAGTGTCCTTGTCCAAGGCCGGGGGTAGGCCTGGATGAGCTTTAAGGTTCCTTCCCACCCAAACCATTCCAGGATTCCACTGTTCTATGATCACTGTGAAAAACACAGTTTCATTTTCTGTTCCCGAAGTTTTGCTGGATGAAACCCAGCAAGCGGAGGGTTCGGAATCAGCACTTTCTAAAAGCCCAACACTCCAAATCTCGCTTTCCCCTATCCCGGCCCCGCTCCCCCAGTCCATCCCCCACATCCAATCCCAATTCTCCCCTACTCCAGCTCCATTCATTCTTCCTTTTCCAACCCCATTTCCCGCATTACAACCCCACTACCGTCGCTTCAACCCCATTCTTCCTACTCTAATCGCGTTTCCCCCCACCCCATTCCATTTCCTCCATTCCAGCTCCGTGCCACCCCATCCCATTTTCCCCATTCCTCCCTATTCCAACCCCATTCCCCGCATCCCGACCCCGGCTTACCCCGCCGCTCCATCCCGCCCGTCCCGCGGCGCGGCCGCCCCGCCGCCTCCCTGGAGCGGCGGCGCATGACCCAGAGCACGCCGAGGCAGAGGCCGGCGCCCGCCGCCAGCCCCAGCGCCATCCCGAACCGGGGCCCGGCCCGGCCCGGCCCCGCCACCGCCATGGCCGCTGCGGGCGCGGAGCGATGACGTCACGGAGACGCGACAATGAGGGCGGGGCGGGGCCGCGTGACGTCATGCCTCGGGGCGGCGAGGCCGCGTCCCTTTTGGTGGCGCCTGGAGGCGGCGGGGACACGGACCTGGGCCACCCTCGGGAGTGTCACCGCCGCCCCCCGCGCCCGCAAATCCGCGCGGTGCCCCGGGAAAAGCCCCCCAAGGCCGCCGGCTGGCACCTGCTGCCGCCTCGGCAGCTGTCCCGCCGTGGTGACAACACCTCGGCCCGGCTGGGATGTCCCCGCACAGCCCGACGCTCCGTTTGGTGTTCAGCTCCCATCAGGGAGGGACAAACGTGCCCCCCCCAAAAAAAAAAAATGGGAATTTGGGGTGCCCAAGGGAGCTGAGCGGGACGGGGTTGTTGTAGTGAGGGAGCGGTTTTGGGGATGAGATAATGGATTTTAGGCCAAGGAGACAGGAGTGGCCAAAGAATCATCCCAAACTTTTGGGGTTGGAATTCTCCCTTCTGCAGGAAATGTGGTGGGTGGTTCCATTCCTGGTGGGATCCCCCGGGAAGAACTTCTTTACCCCAGAGGCATTGAAACTAGAAATAGCTTTTCCTGGATGAGCCAAAGGATTCCTTAGGGAAAGGCGCCAGTCAGGAGAGGGAAAACCAAGCCCTCTGTGTGCTCCCTGCTCCTGGGGGTTTGGGTGACAGCAGGATTTGGGCAGAGCCAAAGAACCTTCTGCTTCCCTTTATCTGAATTATTGGGAGCAATCCTGAGAGAGCTGGGAGCAGCCAGCTCGGAGCCAGAGCATGATAAGCTGCTTTGGGATGATGGATGAGATCTGTCTGCCTCCCAGATTGTGGTATCTCCTCAAGAAATTCAATATTAAAATGTTACGTATAGCTCTGCTCTCGTTTCCCTCCTTTTTCCTTCCTATCTTTTTTCCCCAGGAAAGAGCCACATCAGAGTCAGACCCAGAGCTGGGCAGGCTGCCAGAACCCTGGCTAGATTTCCTTTAATTTCTGGAAAGGTCTGGGTTGCATATCCATATAATTCCCTGCGTGACTACAGACCACACGTGCCCAGCAGAGGTCCAAAGGGGTAATGGATGATGGGAATTCTGTCCAAATCCAACCCAGCTGGGTGAAATGTGCCCTTGCTTCATTGGGCAACAGGTTTGCACTGGGACAGGAGAGCAATAAGCAAACATTCCAGCTGTTCCAGGACTTGGGGAGGAGGCTCTGTTGAGGATAGGAATGATGAAAACAAGCTGATGTTTAATCCGTGTGGGGAGGTATCCCACAGGGAACTCCTAATGGACATACTGGGATTTGTGGGATGTGCTTTAGGAAGAGGAGACAATCAGCCTCTGGGGTTTCTTTTTCTTGTATCTCACCAAACCAAACCAATGGGTCAATGACAATGCCAACGATAACAACAAAAGCAGTAATTGTAACAACAACAACAATTAATAATTAATAACACATCAATAATAATGGATATGCAGCACCTCTGCCTGTCCCGGTCCCAGGAAATGGAACTTCTCCAATTATGAAAGGATTTAAATCCCCCATGTTCTCAGATAATAACTCAACAGCAAGTAGAAAAACAGGTTTTTCCCCAAAAAATGTTGGTAATGCTGAACATTCTGCTTCAGGGGAATGTTTGGTCAGACTGCAGGGTGGGAGTGGGAATGCTCTGCAGGGCCCACCTGCCTGGCTCCACCATCTCCCAGTCCTCACCTCCCTGCTGTTATTTCCTGCTCCTTTATCTCCCTGCTATTAATTTCCGTTTTCTTCGTCTCCCTTATCCATCATCTCCTTACTCATTGCCTCCCAGCTCATCATCTCCCTGTCCTCCATGTCCCTGCATCTCATCTCCTGGTCCATCCTCTCCCTGCTCATCATCTCCTGGTCCATCTCCTCCCTGCTCATCGTCTTCTGTCCCCTCCTGCTCCATCACCTCTTGCCCATCCCTTGTTAGGAGGGCAGCACCGAGATCCCGAGGGATCCGTCGGAGCCCCCCGGGTGCCTCCCGCTCCCCAGCCCCCCGAGCCCCCCGGGAGCCTTTTCCCCGCCGCTGCCGGGGGCGGCGGTGGCGGGGCGGGACCGGGGGCGGCCCCGGGCACGGTCCCCCACGAGCGGCGGCGGGAGCGGCGGAGCGGAGATGCCGTACCTGCTCATTAGCACCCAAATCCGCCTGGTGAGTCCCGGCGGGACCCCCGAGGGTGGGGAATTTCGGGGGGCGAGCAGGGACCGACCGGGGCGAGCCGTGAGACCCGCTCAGCCCGCGGTGCCCCGGTGCGATGCCGGCACGGGCTGGCCCTGCTGCTGCTGGGGGGTCGGGGGGTGATGCAGGCTTGGGGGACCCCAGCACGCCCAGGCTGTACCCCAGCGGCCCCGGTGCCCCCATCCCGGCTCTGCTGCCCCCAAAGCCTCCTGTCCCAAACAGCGACTCACTTAGGAAACTTGCGGCAAGCTCCAAAGAACGCCAAAGGGTTCTTGTCCTCTTGTCCTCATAGCTGGTTTTCCCTCGTCCCCAAACAGCCATTCCAGGGTAGAAAAGGTGGCCAAGGGAGTGGGCACGGCTGGGGCAGACAGGAGCCGGACAGTGGTCGGGATCTCTGGCTGGGATCAGTGTCCAGGAGCACTGGTGGCATTGCTGGCTGTCCCTATCAGACAAAGCCACAAAGCAAACATTAATCCTCAGCACTGGCAGCACCCACATCCTGCAGGACTCCAGGAACTCACAGCTGTGTGTTTATCTGAGGTTTCCCTTTTCCCAAAATCCAGAAGCCTGGATCTGCTGCTGTGGTTTGGGGCAGAAAGTAGGGACAGTGAAAACAGCAAATGAGCAAAGGGAGGGACTTATGATGGACACTGCTGCTACTGCCACTGGAGATGTCCCAAAGGAAGCAGCAGTGGATTGGGGATGGGGATGTGTGGGGATGCTGCAGCACCAAAGCACCTGCTGGCAGCGCCATTTGGGATCATACAAGCTGAGTGATTGTGGATGAGGTACAGGAAGGGACACATGGATTATGGCCCTGGAGGGAACAGCCTGGAGCAGCAGGGCTCAGTCTGCCCTTCAGAGACTTTGGAAGCTCTGCTCGTTCCCAAAGGGGCAAAGCAAACACTTCCAACGTGAAACTTGGCATTGAGCTGAGGCTGGAACCCTTCCAGGTGAGCAGCTGCACCTTCCAGGCAGTGGCCAGGACTGAGGGCCCCTCCTCCCAGGGTGGGCTGATGGCAATTCCCTTCCTTAAGGGCTCTCACTGGAGCTGAGCTGGGAACAGGGGGTGGCCATGTCACCACGTGTCACTCACCGCTCCATGCCTTCCCACAGGAGGCTGGGCCCACCATGGTGGGCGACGAGCACTCAGATCCCCACCTGATGAGTATCCTGGGGGCCACAAAGAGGACCACGCTGGGGAACAACTTGTAAGTCCTTCTCTCATTATTTTCCCAAGGAATGTAGAACATTTTCACTCCTGGAATTCCCCACAGCACCTTCCAGCTGTACAGTTAATCCCAGGAATCCCATGTGTCCTGTTAATGAGGAAATGCTGCCTGATACTTCACTTGGTTCTTTATTTTCCCTTGCTCTGACCCTGTTTTAGCACCTGACCCCTCTTTCCCTCTCTTAGTGCCATCCCTGCCTTGCTCTACCTGTGCCTTTCTTGGTGCTGAGAAACCAGAGTGCTCACCCAGTTCTTACCATCCCATCCCTCCAAGCTGCAGCCTGTCTGTCCATCCCATCCTCCATGTCCCCCCCTCTGACCATGCCAAGTTTGACCCCAGCCTTTGGCCAAGTGCCACTCAGAGAGGTGACCAGCATCTTCCTCATGGTTTGGCCCATTTTTTTTTCCTTTTTTTTTTTTCTCACTTGATATTGCACTTCCTGGTTTTCCCTGGGGTGGGGTGGGACCAAAACCACAATGGCAGAGCAAAACAAACCCTGAAATGCAAGAAAACTTGACAGAGGAGCAGCTCAATTCCTGCCGTGTCCCATGTGCCATGGTGTGGAGTAGGAGAAGGAGGAAAAGGAGGAGGAGGAGAAAGATGAGGCATTCAAAACAGAAGGTGCATCTAATCCCAAATGTTCCCAAGCTTCCATCCATGGAGCTGGGAAAACCATCCTACTCAGCACCAGCACGGCCAACACCAAGGGCTGGACCCTTGCCTGCTGCAGCATTAAAAATCTGAGTGGGGTGGGAAATGTCAATAGTAAGGAGATAAAATATAAGTATAGAGCCCCCCCCCCCTCAGCTGCATTCCTGGGGGGTTTGCCGGGCTGATCCTTCTCCGTGCTATTCCCAAACCCGTGGGTGGGGCAGAGATTGGAGCAGCGCCGGAGTCGTGCTGCCACCCGCCGTGCGGAGCCCGGAGTTACGCAACGGGATGGGAGACAAGAGGGAAACACAACAGGCTCCAAGAAGGAACTGGATTCTCAGAGACTTGGTCGAGGATCCCTGGGATTCAGGTGGAAAAGAAAGGCAAAGACGGATAAAACCTCTGTGGTGCCTGCCCCAGCAGCTGGGGGAGCCGCAGCACTGTAAGGAAGAGAAGCACCACATTCTGCTTGTTTTGGGGAAAGGATACGAGCTTCCTGTGGGATCCCCGTGGTGGATTCACCACCCTTCTCCTCTCCCCGTGTCCCGGAGCGTTTTGAGCTCCTCTTGCCCCACCTGCTCCTTGGCCTGTGTCACAGCTGGGAACTCCACTGTGTCCCTGCGGCACATCCCCGCGGCACAGCACGTTCTCCCGTGTGTGCCTGAGCAGTGGGGCAAGTCCCCTGGCTGGAATGTGGCTGCTGGCAGCCCCCGGAGCACAGCCACAGCCACGAGCCTGACTGCCTCCTCCAGAACCCCAACCACGGCTGGGAGCTCCAGGATATGCACCGTGGCCGAGCAGGATTTTCCATCCCCAATTCCTTCACGAGCAGAGCCTGGCTATGGATGCTGCACACCCCCTTTCCGTAGCACCTTGGGCCCTAGAACTTTAGCCATGACTTTGTAGGGAGGCTGAAGGAAAAGCCTGAGCAGCACAGACCTGCTGGGAAGCTGGGATCTAGAGGTGAAGCTGAAATCCCTGTAATGAGGGAGCACACGGATCCTGTTCCGCAGCTCTGCACAGACACACGGCCCCTCATTAAGTCCCACAAGGTGTGGGGAGCAGGGATGTGGTCCCTGCCCTCTCACTCGGGGTCACAGCCCTTGGGGCAGCCAGGTGGGGCAAGGGGTGGGGTTTACCTGGAAGAAAAGGCTTTGCAGGTATCCCAGCCCCTCCATCCCTACTGGATGCACAGGGAGACGGCAGCAGATCTGATACCCACTGTGTGCAATCTTCATTTCCTTCAACACACAGCTGGGATAAAACCCTGGGAACTCTTGCCTCCTGCTTTTAGCTCAGCTACTCTGTTTTTTAGGTTTCTACAAATCCCTGCCTCTGCAACTACCACTGAATAGTGGGAATAATATTTACCAGGTCCCACTGTGAATCTGAAGGGTATGTGGCAACCCTCCTGGAGAAGGAACAGACTTCAAAGACACTTATAATAATGCACATTATCTTTACACCACATCTATAATTACAGCCAAGTACAGTCTTGAGAAACTGGAAAATCTTTCACATCTCAGGTTATTTCGTGCTTTAAAGCACTCCCAGCTCCAGTATGGATCTGAAATCCAAGCAGGAGAAGCTTTGGAAAGGCTTTTGGATTTTTTTATCATTAGTAGTAGGAAAAGCAGAAGCTTTGTTCAGCTTCAGGTGCCCAAACAGGATCCCCAGTGATCCTGCAGCCCATCATTATCTGCTTATCCGGCACTGCGAGTCAGCTACAGCTGAGCTGCTCTGGGCCTTGTCCCAGAAGTCATGTCAAAGGAGAGGCTGGCACATCCAAAGGTCCCACTGGCCAGCTCAGCTTGGCTGTCCCCAGCCAATTCAGCCCAGTCTGTGCCTGGTCCCTTCACTGGGAGCAGTGTCACAGGCCTGGAGCTTCTGGGATCGAGGGGTAGGAATGTGGGACAGCTATCCATGCATAGAGCCAGCACAAACCAATAGGGAATCAGAGCTGGACAAGGATCCCAGTACCAGCTCCCAGGCACTGCTGGAACAGAGGAGCCTGGGCTCCACCTCGCCTGGCAGCTCCATGCAGGATGGATGACTACTGGCTTTCCCACCTGCCTGAAAACATCACTTTGTTCCAATCCCCAAATTCTAACAGTCTCTCAAACTCGCCCATCTCACAGACATAGTCTGACATAAACAGAACACTGGGATTTCATTCCTTAGAAACACCTGACTCATTCCTTTCCTCCTCCATCAATTCCCAGGCAGGCTAAAAACATGCTCACTGTGTTAACCTGTGAACCCTCTGCTGCAGTGTCAGCCCAGTTACCCAGCAGCATGCGGCTCTGGACACCAGCCCCTGAGACACATTCCCATTCAACCTGATCCTTCCCTCCTGGACAGGATTCCTGTGGTTTGGCACCTCAGGCTGTGCCTTCCCCCAGGGTTAACCAAGGCTCTGTGTCACACACGCCCGTGCCAGGTGTGGCCACTGGTCTTAGAGGGAGCAGGAGTGAGGCAGGCTCACTTCCACCAGGAAATTCCCATCTCCTCCTCCCCCAGCTCACCTTATTCCCATCTTTCCTGGGTGCAGCTGTGAGTACTATGTGAACGACGCTCCACGCATGGTCCTGGACAAGCTGGAGAGCCTCGGCTACCGGGTGGTCAGCATGACCGGCGTGGGCCAGACCCTGGTCTGGTGCCTCCACAGGGAATAGCCAGGGAGAATCCTGCCTTCCACCCGGACAACATCCTGCTGGAGATCATCTTACAGGACTGGCAGCAAATTTCCCCCCCTTAATTCCTTTCTGTCCCAGACTCCAGGCACTCGGGGTGAGGGGAGGAACGGCACAGAGGCAGAGCTGGACCCGGTGGAATTTTGCCATCCCTGTCGTGTTTCCCAAGAGCAGGGGGAGGAAGATATGCTCAGAATCAGGCAGAGGGAACAGATGGCTCCAGCTCTGCCTTCAGCGGGATGGCAGTCTGGCAAATTCCAGCTTTTTACATTTTAATCATGTGTTCAGCATGTCCTGGAGGAAGCTCAGTAACAGGCCTGTTTGCCTCCTCCCCAGGCTGCCAGGGAGAGCTTTGTGCCTTCTCCTGGGCCAGAGGTTTAGGGAGGGACAGCAAGCATGGACACCATCCCATCTCATTCCTGAAATCCAAGAGGGAACCACTAAATCTACTCCCAGGGCTCCGAGAATCCCTTCCCTTAGCAGCAAGGCCTGTTTCCAGCTCAGCAGCACCACCAGATCCCAGACTGCCATCCAAGCCTAACACGGGATTCCCAAAATAACAGAAAGTGTTGTTGTGTGACTATTCCAGGTGTGGGCTCTAATCCCACATGTTTGGGATTGTGCATGGATTCTGCTGTGGGGATAACACCAATAAAATATTGCTCCAAAGAGACCAATGTCCTTCTGTGGGTCGTTAAAAGCTGTTGCCAAATCCCTCTGGATGCACGGCTCCTGAATGAGCTTTCAGGAATTAAAAGCTCCAAGGTCTGGTGTTCTGATGGCACCTCTCACACCTTGTCCCATAGGATGGGGCCAGTGCTCTGGGCACACACACACTGACAGGGTAACACCTGCACTCTATGAACCTCAGGCAGCCATTCCTTCCCCAAACCTGGAAAGGGTTAAGGGCTGCAGTCCCTGGGAGTTTCTATTCCCACAATACCTTTAGAAAAAAAGAGGTTTATTGACTTAAATTAAGAAACAGCTCTGAGGGGACGGAAGGACGGGAAGAATCCATACTCTCATGCTAAGTGTGGGACTTTTCCTCCTCGTCTTCCCGCTGGAGCTGCTCAATGAGCTGCTGCCTCTCGGCTGCCTGGCGCATCCTCATCATCACCAGGCTCTCGTAGTCCCGCTCCGACACCACCGAGGCCTGGGAAGGAGCAGGAAACACACACAACCCATCAGGGGCAGCACAGACTCCCAGACTTCCCCAAATCCCCGTCTCAACACCGGTGTTCTGGGCAGGAAACTGTGAGGTGGGTGAAAGCTGCCTGGCTACAGGAAAAAACCAGGAGATGTTATTGAAATGATTATTAAAAATAACCAGCAATAAGTGTGGTTGATGAGGAAAGAGGGGCAGACACAGAGCCAGCATTCCATGAGGCTGGTTGGGGCATTATTTTGGATGACAAGATCACCCTGCACCTACAAGGTTGGTACCCAAAGTCCAGCGTACACTTCACCTGTTACAAAGGCTAATGCCATAAAAAAATCAAACGTTTGTGGATGAGTCATGGAAGTGACTAACTTCCAACTGCCTGACAAGGCTGAGGCCTTGGCACAGGCTGCCATGAGAAGCTGTGGCTGCCCCTGGATCCCTGGCAGTGTTCCAGGCCAGGCTGGACAGGACTTGGAACAGCCTGGGATAAGTGGAAGGTGTCTCTGCCTGGGATGGACTTTAAGGTCCCTTCCCATCCAAACCATTCCATGATTCTAACAGCTGCAATCAATGACCCTGGAGGTCTCTTCCACCACAAAGAATTCCCTGATTCTAAGCAGCTGCAGAAAGCAAACCACCAGGGATGTTCCCAAACCTGACAAAGGAACGGAACAGTTTTCCAAAGCTCCCAGAACCTCCCTGCTGCGTGTGGCAGCAACTGTCATGTCAAGGCAGTTGATTGCAGACTCTGCCTAATGAACGTGGGCAGCAGATGACAGCTGCTCCAGTGCTTTGGCGCTGCTTCCAAAGCCATTCCACACTAGTAGGTGGCCGTGCTATTTTGGAAGTATGAAAGCACTGCAAGGCTTGGAAACATCCAGCATGTTCCTTGACAGTTCAGGTGGAAATAAGAGTTTCTTGACAGAGGGTGAATGGAAAAAAAAAAACCCTCCCTATTCCTTTTTCTAGGAAGTGGGTTAAGTGGTGATCACAGAGAATCACAGAATCCCAGAATGGTTTGGGTGGGAAGGGATCTCAAACATCATTTGGTTCCAACCTCGTGCCATGGGCAGGGACACTTTCCACTAGCCCAGGCTGCTCCAGCCTGGTTTTGAACACTTCCAGGGATAGGGCAGCCACAGCTTCTCCAGATATTGAAGGATTTCTTAGGAAGCAGGAGGGATACAAAGGCAACAGAATGCCTTAGTAAGTCTCTGCATGAAAACACAGTGCAATTCCTTATCCTGTGCCAGCAAAGTGGTTCCTCCGGCTGCAAGGACACAATGAAAGCCCACAACAGATAAGGAACATCAAGAGGGAAATTAAGAGTCTAATTGGTGTCTTAAGAGCCAACTGAGCAAAATTACCTTTGGGTACTGGCAGCAGCAGTGTCTGAGAAAGCACCGATGGTATCAGCCCTCAGCCAGGATCCTTCCAGGTCCCATCCACCAACCCCAGGAATTTGCTGGGCTGGATGGAAGAGGCTGCCTGAGATTTATGCAGATGAATCACCCACACAAACCTGAAGCCCCACCTCACACTGGGATTGAAATTTAAAACAGCCAGGAGATTATTTGCAGCCTGGTTTGGGAGCTCTGCTGACACAAGGAGCTCTCAGAGCAGCGGGAAGGAGAACAGCCTGATCCAGGTGGGCTCACAGCACGTGCTCCCGGGTGCCTGAGCGTGGGCTGAGGCTCTGCCACTCCACACACCTACTTCCTGCAATCCTGGCAATTACCAATGGAGTGAAACCCAGTTCCTGACGTGGCTGACTCAGCAAGGGCTTGGCTCAAAACAAACACATCCACGCAGGGAGCCGCAGCCCGGGAAGCAGCAACGGGTGGCTCATGAAGGGACAGCAGCAGCAGCACTGGGGAGTCTTGGCGTTCTGGGTCCAACCTGGCTGAATTCCTGGACTACTGGCTGAGCTCTCCCTGGACTTGCTTCTTCATCCTGGTCTCCAAGTGCTTCAGCAGCTTCTCCTCTCCGCTCCTGGATTCCAGGCTGCTCCAACAGTGTGTAAGTCTCTTCTGCACTCTGTTCTCCCAGCGTTGTCTCCTGCATTGTCGCTTTCTACATCCCCCTTCTCCTGTATTCCCTGGGTTCCTTCGGTGGGACTGAGTCACCGTCTCGTTCCCAGCCACCCACGGCGCTTTTCCGGCAGTGCCCCTCCGCAGAAGGTGCCTGGTTACCATGGCACCCGAGTGCCCTTCTGTTCTAGATGCCAGATTAGATCTGTTCTCATGGTGACTGTGCCTCTGCTGTTCCCCACCAGCCCGGAGACGCAGCACACGTTTAACGAGCTCACTCACACACCGCCGCTCCTCTCCACTCTGAGGGAGACTCCTAGAGATCCAAGACAAGCCAAGTGCTCCTTGCCACAGCGTGGAGTTTGCATTTCCTGAACTACCAGCCTCTCTGTGTTCCTTGCAGCTCCGGGAGTGGGACAGGAAGAGGTTGATCCTGTTGCGTGGCTCTCTGCTGATCCCTTGGCTCCCGCCTGTGAGGAGTCAGCACTCCTGCTCCTTGCCGCCTCTGCTCACCATGGATACTTGGCGCAGGGGGTCCATCAAGTCCACCACCTTCTTCCGACGCTTCTCCCTCAGGAGGCACAAAAAGCTGGGCAACCAAGTCATCATCCTGAACCAGAACAGCCACACTCTGGATACGGATGGCCAGAAAAGGGAATGCTTGAGGGATCTGAAGGACAAGTCTGAGTACCTGTCCTGTCAGAGCGAGCAGAACCTGGCCAAGGCACAAGCCCCTCCCAAGCCTCCCCGGCTGTACCTGGACAGTTCCAGCTGCCCCAACATCATCGATCACACGGATTCCCACTCTGACCTCTCCTTTTCCGACGCTGCTCCGTGCCACAAAGCCACTCCGACACACAAGGACCAGGCTACTGACCATGGCACCTCAGAGGCAGGTCTCCCAAACAGCACCACTCTTCCTGACCTGGCTGACCCCTTCCTGTCCTTCAAAGTGGATTTGGGGCTATCGCTCCTCGAGGATGTGCTGCAGACCCTCAGGAAACAGAACCCGAGGGATTACGCCATTTGAAGGTATCCATTGTCCATCACATCCCAGCTACTCACTGCTGCTGCCAGTTCCTCCAACTCCAGCAGGAGGAAGGATACTGGAGCACGCCTGTTGTGTGCAGCCTGTTTCATTGTCCTCACCTCGCCCACCACAGACCATCCACGTCCTTGCCAAGGAATCCTCTGGAACAGAGCTCATGGGCTCTGTGCTCAGGTGAGAGCACTGTCTGCTGTCTCGTGGACAACTTTCCACTCTCCACCCTGGGAATTTCCCACTCCAGACTGTGCGTCCCATCCTCAGGGAAGACTGGCATTTTTTAGGAAGGACTTATTATGGGGATGTGACACTGTGGGGCAGGGACACACAAGGATTTGTCATGGATCACTTGTGGAACAGCTGGCAGCCTGCAAGGAGGCAGCAGCACTGCACCCCGAAGCCAAAGCTTTGAGGGCTGAGAGACGGGAACTGGGGCTTCTCTTCCCACCATGTTTGGATGTGAAAGCTCAAAGCTGTTCCTCCGTTTTTTCTCTTCCTCCTTGTGGGTTTCTTTTCCCTTAACTCCAGTGCAGGTGGCACTCCCAGCCTGGAAACAGGTAAGCATCCAAGCAGGCTCCTGATACAGCACCAGCAGTGGATTTATCCTCCTGGCAGGAGAAGAGATGTCTCTGACACTGCTGCCTTACGCATGCACTGAGCTCCCAGCTGTACAGACATAGAAGAATAAATGTATCTGTGACTGGAAGCGTCTGGTTGCCTCATTTCACTGGGAACAAGCCTCAGAAATCCCAGGCACCAGGAACACAGGGTATCTAGAGTGGCCTAGGTCCATCCTCCCTGGCACTGCAGGGTTTTATAATGGGGGCAGGGACACCTGTGTGGCTCTGAGGAAAGGACAGAGCTGCTGGGACTTAATTTTCCCCTGAGGAGAGCTCACACAGCTCGGAGCAAGACAGGAACAGTTCCCCATCCTGAGCTGGACAGTGGGAAAGGTTCTGCCAGGCTGAGAACATTTTGGGCAGCACCAAGCTGCTAAAAGAAACTACCAGTTCTTACCATTTTGACTATTAGGGCTATTTTAAAAATTAACAATAATAAAATGTCCATGCCCCCAGATAACCAGGAGCTTTGGAAGTGGCCACAGCAAAATGTAGAGACACTCCAGGGAAGGCACAGCTGCCTCTTATCCTGCAAGAGTCACCTCCTGAAGTCAGATAATAGGAAATAAACCCTATGAAACCTCTGAAGGAGCTTAGAACAGATACATGAATACCAGGCAGGAGTCTTTTCTCAGGGCTGAATTGCTGAGGAGCCATGGCAGGGAGATTCCACTGCAAGAGCAGGGAAAATCTTCCCAAAACTAAGCATTGCATGCTGTTGGAATGGCAAAACAGGCTCTCTGCAGCCACTGTGTGCTTTGAACCACCACACAGCCCCTGCTCTCAATAGCCTAGAGTAATACTGTCCAAGCCACAGCTTTTGAATTCCAAGGGGAACTGGAGCCTGCTTGGCTGCAGCAGCTCTCCAGGAACTACTGGACAATGTGCACCTGTTGCTGTAGGAGACAACAAAGCTATGGAAGACGAGCAGCTTCCACCTTGGAACTGCTTCCAAACCCCCTGGCTGGGGTCTGGCTGTGCTTTACCTGCAGATTTTGGCTCTCAGGTCCTGGCTGGCTCTCCCAGGCAGGGTGTACCTGGCTGCCTGTTCCAGGCAGGGAGCAGAGTATGAGTAGTGAGCATGTTGCCATGAGAACACTGCAGGCTTGGGCTGTTTCCTGAAGGAGAGCAGCAGAGGAGTTGCTTTTGCACAGAGTGGGAACAAAATGGGGGTGGATTCAGACAAAAACAGAGGGGGGAAGCGAATAGGAAGCAAGGGCAGCTTAAATCAGAATAAGGTAAGTGCAGCCTGGAAGCAAGAACGTGGTGTCTGGGAAACCAGGCTGGGTGTGAAGGGAAGAGGCAGAGGGAGCAGGGATCTGGGAGCTCACTCTGCACACTCTTGAACTGGAGAGCACAAGCTGCTGGAAGCAGATCAACCAAGAGGAGCTGTAAACAAATTACAGGTTTTAGAAGCATCCTAGCAGATGCAGTAAGAGGATTTAGGGAGGGTCTGGAGTAGGAACAAGGAAAAACAGGAAGGAGAGCAGCTTGGAGATGCAAGGCTGCAGTGCAATCCCAGAAATTGCAGCTTCTTACAGCCAAAAGCAGCAGAAAGGAGCAAATCACCAGCTGTGCAGCTCCTGGGAAGGATGCAGCTCCTCAACATTCCCAGAGCCAGGTGGGATTGAGGAGGCTGTGCTGGGCAGAGGTGAGTCACCAGCACTGTGTGCTGCTTTCCTGCTCTCCCTGCTGCCCCACCACACTAATCCTGCACTGCAGGCAGACGCTGCACTTCCACACTAACAAGCTCTGGCCATGGAAACAGGCCAAGACAAACTCGGGGATCTGAACCCACAGAGGCTGGCATCCACTACCAAGCTCCAACTGCACCAGCAATCCCCTTTGGTAGGAATGAGCCAGTTCTCACTCTCTGCTAGTGAGAAATTCTCAAATGAAATGCTTTGGATTTTGCTTTTTGCCCCAGTTCCCTTCCTAACACTCTGGTGAATCTCCTGTGGCTGAAGGACTCTCCCTGGTCCTGCATGGACAGGATAACCATCAGGTGTTCTGATGCACAATTACAAATAATATAAATAAAATACATAATGAAACATCAAGACAGTGAATGCACTGAACAATCTCACAAGCTTAAAATATTTAGGGAGTGAACACACAAAAGGGTATTTAGCTTGATATTGTTGTCTCCTGCCTCCTGCAGACCCTAAGAATAGAGGTTTGCTTCCAGCACTGAAACATCCTCCTCCTGCAAATGCAGTGAGCAACCAAGACTCTCTAAAGGAACCTTTCAGCAGTTCTCACTCAGAGGATTCCAACAGTCAAGACATATTCAAAAATCCCATCAAAATGGCATTGAAGGCTTTGGGATGAGCAAAGAATATCCTTGCTCTTCACTTGGGAGACAGGGAATGTGTGAAGATCCAAATAGCTCCCAGTGTGCTGCTGCCCAGGCAGGATATCCTTTAGAAAGCCACTGATCTGGTATAGAAAGGGCTGCAGGGAAAGCCAGGCCTGGCCCCAAGAGCTTTTATCTGATAGCACTCTGAGATTTAAGTTGTTACAGCACCAGATTTCCATCCCACAGCCCATCCTCCTCACCTGTGAGGTCCTGGGCTGGCTGGTGCTGTCTGGGAGGATGGTGCTGGGGTGGCTCCGGGGCTGGCCCTCCAGCCAGGAAATCTTCAGGGGGTTATTTAGCAGGCCAACTTCATTCTTCACAGCCATCTCCTGGCAGGGAAAATATCCTTCCATCATCACCTGGATTTCAGATCCCATTCTCTTCCCTCACAAGTTCCTAAGAATCATGCCCCTCAAGGCCAATTAGGACACAAACAAGACCTATCCCTGGAAGTGTCCAAGGCCAGGCTGGATGGGGTTTGGAGCAACTTGGGCTAGTGGATGATGTCCCTGCCCATGGCTGGGGGCTTGAAATGGATAATCTTTTAAAGTCCCTTCAAACCCAAACCATTCTGATTCCACTCTGTAAGATTTTAAGGATCTTTCCAACCCAAACCACTCCATGACTCTCAGATATCACAGCTGCCCTACATGAGAAGCACCTTTATGGTCCATACCCCTGCCAGCATTTTTGATATACAGGTCACACACAGTTCTGGGGGTTTTTATCATTTGGATATGAATGAAAGAAAAGCTAACAAGGAAACTCTCATACAGCCCAAGCTCATGGAGCTACTAAAATTGAGGGTAACTGATGACTTCAGCTCCCACAGCCACATGAATTATTATAACTCACAGTGAGTCAAGACATTCTGGGTTGTTTTTCACTGCAAATGCCTGATATCACCTCCAAAACACATAAGCCCAACTCCAAGGCATTTCACCTTCAGAGAGAGCTGAGTAAGTGCTCAGTGCCTGATTTTTGAGGCTGTGCCTCTTCCCTCAGCCTGTTCCATGCACAACCTGTTTATGTGCCTGATCTCTGGGTTTGTGCCTCCAGCTGTGCCACTCCCTCCAAGCCTTTTGACTCTCATTACCCTTCTCCACTGCCTTAATGACAGGGCAGTGTCCTGGCTGTCACCTGTCCTGTGCCACCCCCAGCACACCCAGCAGGGGCTCTGCACACTCACAGCTGCCTTCACCGTGGCAAATTCCACCACTGCACTCCCAGTCTTCCTGCTGGAGATCAACAAATTGAGCACATCACCGTACTGTGGGAAGAAAGAAAGGAAGGAAAGTTAATTAAAGAGCCAGGAGAGATGTCAAGTTCAGTTATCAAATGAACACAAAGAGAAAACATGTGTTTTCACAGACATGAGGCTCGAGCTGTCACCATCTCTGCCCTGCTTCCACTGATCCCATCATTTCTGTCCCTCCAGGAACTAATCTGGGAAGGCATGGAGCTACACACTTGGCTCCCAGCAAGCTCCAGTGCAAAAGGACTGCTGAGCTCAGAGGAAAAAGAAAGATGCCAGGCTGGGATTGATCAGATCAAAGGCTTGTCTGTGCCTGCCTCTGCATTTCCCACAGCAGGGATGTGGAGTGCTTGAAGTGAAGGATGAGTGCACCACAACCACAGAACCAGACAAAGTGGGCAGGAAGCATCCAGTGGGAAGAGTCTGCAGTTGCTCCGTTTCAGCCAGAGCTGTTAGCTGGGAAACAGCTCCCAGCTAAGGGATCAAAGGATCCAACTTGGTTCAAAGGGTGGATTTGATGATTTAAGAGATCTTTTCCAACCTTAATGACTCCACGATCATGCTGATGAGCTCTGAAAACTGCATGAGAAAGCTGAACAGGGAAGGAAATGAGCAATTCCAGTTTACAGCTTACAAGGGCATGGAGTGACAGGACATAGGGAATAGCTCTAAACCAGCTGTTTAGATGAGATTACCTGTTTAGATTAGATTATTAGGAGAAAATCCTTCCCTGTGCAGGTGCTGAGGCCCTCCCACAGGTTGCCCAGAGGAACTGTGGCTGTCCCATCCCTGGAAGTGTCCAAGGCCAGGCTGGACAGGGCTTGGAGCAATCCGGGAGAGTGGGAGGTGTCCCTGCCTGTGGCAAGGGGTGGAACTGAATAATTTTTAAGGTCCCTTTCCACCCAAACCATTCCATGACTCTGTGATATGCAGCTTCCCAGAGTTCACTATTCTTACAGCACTGAGATCAGGGGAAGACACAGTAATAAATAGGGAAGAGTGTCAGACAGGACCTTTTGCAGGATCTGCAGCAGCACATCTTTGGAGTATCCCCCTCCAGTCTCATCTTCCTTTCTGCATTTCCACCTGAGCTGGAAACAAACAGGCAGTAGTTAATTTCTCCGGTTTGGATGCTCTGCCTGCTCAAGCAGCTCCCACCCACCCCCCTGAACATTCACCACGTCTGCTATTTCCAGCCACACTCTCAGGCCTGCCAAGACAGTGATCTCAGCATGGGAGTGAGCACAGGGAACAAACTGTTTGGGGAACAGGGAGAAACGCTGCTCACTGGAATAAAAAAAGATCGCACTTGAAAGGATGCTAATGACTCTGCCAGGGTAATTAGCAGATGTTTCCTTGTGCTTAAAGCACAGACAACTCAATCCCAGGCTCAGAAATCTGCAGCAGACAAAGAAAAGGTGACTGAGGAAGAAATTCTAACAGGAAGGACAGGAGCTGTTCACCTGATGGTGCACATTTCATGGAAGAATTTCATCTCCAGTATAAAGAAAAGATGTGCCAGCTCAGTAGGGTTGAAATGTCCCTTCTGTTTTCCACCACGTTCTATCAGTTTTCACCAAAACACAGCTTTTAAAGGATGTCTTACCTTGAGCTTAGGAGTTACTTTGCCTTCTGCTCCATTTCTTTCCTGCTTGCCTAAAGAGAGAAAAAGCAAAAAGATGGAAAGGACATGGGTGAAAATTCATTTTGCACAATTCTATTTTCCCTGAGAACATACATATGATGAAACACTTTGGGATTTCCACTGAACCATTCCAGTCCCAAAAATCTCGTGCAACAGGAACTGCAGCACAGACAGAATACTCCAAGGCAATATTTTTCCCTTTAAGGAAGCACAGACTTGCCACGATCAAGGCTAGAAACAGGTCAGCAAAAACAAGCAGGAGACAGTTTCTGAGGCATTTTTCCCTGCAAGGAGGTTGGAAAAATTCAGGGTGGACAGCTGCCAAAGAGCTCAATGGCACCTGCAGGTGCTCCCCTGTGCTCACCTCGGCTGTGCTGCTCCCTTTCCAGGCGGATCTGCTCCCTGACCAGCCTCTGCTGCTCCTCCAGCTGCCGGGAGCCCTCCTCACGCAGGCGGATTATCTATGGCACAGGGAACACAGCACGGGCACCTGAGACACAGAGCCAGGGCTGGAATGTCACCTGGAATCTTCCAAGGACAGCCTGGGCCTCACACCCATCTCCTGGGACAACCCTCCTGCCAGTTCCCGTGGTACAGCTCCAAAAGGAGCAGCCTGGTCTGATGGAAGGGGTCCCTGAGCATGGCAGGGGCTGGAACTGGATGGGCTTTAAGGTTCCTTCCCACTCAAACCATTTCAGGATTCTCTGATTAATCCCAAAGGCTGAAGAGCTGCTGTCCAGAGGTTTTTTTGCACTTCATCCCATGGATTTCATAATGAATGGAAATAATTCTTCTCAAAAATAGCAGAGAGAACTAAGAATTCATCCTTACTTCTTCTTCTAATGATCTCGTTATCCTGGTCTCCTCCTCTTCATTCTCTTGGGACTGGGCTTCCCGTTCTCTGGCTTCAAGATCTGCAGAGACAGAAACAAACTTAAAACAATCCAAAGAGAACTTGAATTTTCCCTGCTGGCCAGAGGAAGATGGATAGATCACAAATTTGGCTGAAGCTACACCAATATCCTGACAGCTCTGCTGCCCCTCCCTTTGGCCCCACACACCAAAGGAGCCTTAACAGTCCTCAACCCCCTAATTCCCACAGCAGGACCTAATTCTCTCCTTCCCAGAACAGGACCACCCCAGCTATAGCTGAGGGAGGAGATTCCAGGTCTACTGGACTGTACTAGGGATGAAGAAACCAGAGTCATCCCCCATGGATTGACCCCTGTGGAAGGAGAAATGCAAACAGCCAGCTTGGGGAGACCTCAGGAGAATGTGAGGGTTTGATTTTCTTACCAAGCTTTACTTTCTTCCTCTTCTCATCAAGTTTCTGTGTCCTTGCTGCAGCCTCCTTCTTTGCCCTCCTCACCCTGTCATAGGCTGCCTGCCAAGGAACCAGCACAACAGTGGGAAACTACAGAAACCAGGAGAGAAACTGGAAAACAGGGAATACAACAACATCAGGGACTGAAACCCTGTCAGCAGGGCTGAAGCATCTGCTGCTTCTTGGATTACAAGCTTTGCCAGTACCTGAAAAGAGGAGTTCATCTTTTTAGCTTTTATTAACTGGAATCAATGCTTTTCCCTCTCCTGAGCTAATTTGGAGAGAGTTCCTTGCTCATTTTTTGATTTTATTCTTTCCAGGGACATTTCCAGGTTCTTTTCGGCCTTGGGCAGTGGGTTCTCTGCCACTTCCTCACAGCCCCAGAAGGATCCAAGCTCTCCTGTGTCCCACAGACAGCAAAGCTTGAAGCCTCAGGAATTGCATCCAGGTATTACTAATTTGTCAGCCCCTGACTCAACAGGAATGGCAGATGTTGCCATGGGAATTTGCTGTTCCTGAATCAGGGATGGTGTTGTTAAATGGGATATGCCCCAGTCCAGCACGTTATTAAAGGCAGAATCTCAGGGCAGAGCTGCTCCCAGCAGCAAATCCCAAACACAACATTTCTTCAAGCTTTTTACCTGGCACCTGAGATTTGATCTCAGGGAGAACCAGGGGGAATAAAGCTGAGATTTGTATTCATGGAGCATCTCTTGGAGCAGAGAGCAGGAGAGGCAGGATTACAGTTTCCAGCACCACCCCAAAATCCCACCCTTCCCAAGGGAGCATCCTTACCCTGGCTGCTGCATCTGTGAGCACGGCCAAGGCCTGGGACAGCTGATGGAAAATTTCCGCTGGGAACGAGAAGAAATAAGGGCAAGATGAGGGAAACCAGGTGAGGGTCCTGGGGAAGAACCAGGAAATAAAATTCCTGCAGGAAGGTCTCTCAAAGGAACAAATATCACCTCTGGAAGAGATTTCCAAGCCAACCTCTAGCCAGGGCCACCTAAGCTCAAAGGTGTTACACAAACTCAAGAGTAAAAAAACTGGGATTGTTTCACTTTAAGAGAAATCTTGGAACATGCAAACTTAATTTTTCTTACTGATTCCTTTTATTTTTGGTGGTAATATCTCTTTCATGCCACATTTAGCTGGAGCTTCACAATTTCCTTCTCCCTCTCTGTCCTTTTCCTTCAACAAGAAGTCCTGCTTATGTTGTATTGTTGCATTACAGCCATCTATCCTTTAAAAGTCTTTCCTCTTGTCCCATTACAAGCATTGACAAACTGTATTTATTTTTTATAAAGATAAATTATCAGTCTTGACAGAAAAAATACAAAGTAACTGCTAATTCTACAACATTCATCCACAGCAAACACTCCCTGCAGGCAGCTGAAATGCCCTCTTGCCCTGCCCACAGATAACAGGATTTATGGAGTGTTGATGAAATTTGGACTGTGAGAGATACAGATCAAAGCAGTGTCCAAACAGGCAAAGGTTGGGAAGGTTTGGAGGGGTGCAGCTGTAATTCCAGCACTGACTTAATGCTGGTGTTTCTAAGCCCAGCAGGGATCGCTCAGCCTTAAAAAGCAACTCCAACAGCAGCAACTCCCAGCCCTGTCTGCATTCCCAAGGACACACACCCAGCCATTCCCTCAGCACCTAGGGAAGCAGAGCCACTTCCAGGAGCCTGCAGAAGTGAAAACTCCAGCAGGAAGAGCTGCCCCCTCTCACCTGCCCGGGGGTTGTCCGGGTTCTTGTCCGGGTGGCAGGTCAGGGCCTTCTGCCGGAACGCTGTCTTCACCTGCAGGGGCCACACTGGGAGTTACTGGGGGGAAACTGGTTTGTCTCTGCCAAAAAAGGCAACTTGGAAACCCAAAATAATCCCTGTGTTCAAGGGTAACCTGCTGGGCTCAGGACATGGCCGTGTCTGGAAGGAGCTGGAGCTTTTAAAAGTTGTTTTTACTTCCAAGGGTCTTGTGTTGCAGCAATTAAACCTCAAGTAAAAAAAAAAATGGGAGAGAGGAAAAAAAGGGGGGAGAGGGGGAAAAAAAGCAGAGAAGTAAAAAAAGGGGAGAAGAAAAAAAAAAAGGAGAGAGGGAAAAATATGGAGGAAGGAGACCAAAAAGGGAAGGGAAGGGAAGGGAAGGGAAGGGAAGGGAAGGGAAGGGAAGGGAAGGGAAGACAGAAGGGGGGATGATAAAAAAATGAGGGAAGGGTAAAATCTCAGAAAGAGAATCAAAAAGAGGGAACCAAAATGAGTGAAGGGGAATCAAGTGGGTAAAGGAAGAGAAGTGGAAAATAAAAATAAAAGAAGTAAAGAGAATGAAAAATAGGGAAATAGAAGGAAAAAAGTGGAAAGGAAAAAAAAAGGGGGGGGGGAGAGAGGAAGGAAAAAAGGAAGCCACTCTTATCTCACTCCCAACCAATTCCTGCTATAACAAGTGGGAAAAGTTATGTCCAGGCCCCACCTGGTGGACAAAGCTCCCGGGATTGGGAATGTGCAGGAAAAACCCTGCAGATGACCCCACCTCCTGCAAAAGAGCCCAGCTGAGGGAGAGGCGTCTCCTCGGCGGGCTCCATCCTCCAACTTCCCATTTCAGCCAAGAATTCCTCCCCACTGTGCCATGTAACCCGGCTCCCTGGCAGTGCCACCGTTCCCTTTCTATCCTGTTCTCCCAGGCCCTTGTCCCGAGCCCCTCTGCAGCTCTCTCGGAGCTTCCTTCCTGTGTTTAGCACTGACTAAGCAACTAAACTAAATTAAAACCCACGAACGTGTAATTCCAAGCCCACAGAATTAACTGCGTGACTTTTGGGTGCTCGGACAGGATTTTTGGGTCAACAGGGGAATTTCCCTTCTGGAAGCACATAGCGAGAACATTTCCCAGACCAACTCCGCAATTCTCTCCTCCTCCAAAGGCGGGTTCCGCCCCGCAGGATTGAGGCGTGAGCTGGGGGAACAAGGCCAATCCCAGTAAAAACGGGATATGACAACACCGACATCAATAAAAACGGGATTTTTCCAATTGAGAGCCCCGGTCCCGCAGCCGCACTTGGAGCAGCCCCTCAGCTCAGCGCTGGAGAGCAGCGCCGCGCCGGGAGCCGCCGCTCCCGAGGACGCCAGGAAAGGGATGGAAGGGAGAGAAGGAGCCTGTCCCGAGCCCCCCTACGCCCCTCACCTCCTTCTCGGACGCCTTCTCGCCGATCCCCAGCAGCCCGTAGAGGTCCCGCTCCAGCAGCTCCTTATCCACCGCCATCTTCGCGCTTCCCGCTTCCGCTCCTGGCGCCGCGGTCGCTGGGAAATGTAGTCCCAGCACGCCGCCGCGCCACAGGCCTCCTGGGAAGGTTGGACTACAAGAACCGTGATGCATCGCGCGGCCCCAGAGGACGGGACATCAGGGGGCGCGGCGCTTTGCTGGGCATGATGGGTGTTGTAGTTCTTTAGCGGCGGCTGCGAGCGGGGAGAAACTAGAGGAAAACTACAAGTCCCGTGGGGCCGTGCGCGGGCACTGAGTCCTTAGGGAAAACAGCGCGTAGGTCCCGCTGTCCTCCTAGGTCGCCGCTGACCGTGTCCTCAAATGCCACAGACTGGTCCACATCCACGCACTAAAACCCTCCAGGGATGGCACTCCACCACCTCTTCGGGAAGCCTGTGGCAGTGGGGGGAGGTGCGAGACCAGCTACAGCCTGTTCCCAAAAACATACTTGTCCCCAAACAGCATCCATTTCAGCCCGAGGCACAGCTCCTTAGGAAATTCTTTTCTTATTGATCTAAGACACCTCCCTTTCCCCCTACAGCTCCAAGAAGGGAGCACTGAAGAAAGCCGATCCAATTATTCGCATACGCAGGAGACGGAAATTTTCAGCCCTTGCTCCTTTATTCTAGTAGGATTTGTGTCCTCATGGCCGAAGGTTCCTTAATTTACTTTATCAACAATAGCAACAAACCTGAGATCATGAAGAAAACAGGATAGCTGTGATTCCAGCAAAATGAACTGCTTCAGAGAGCTGTTCTTATCCAGTAGGGCAATAAACTGAAAGATTCCTTTTGTGTCCCCACGGAGCCTCACCCAAGGAGAGCCTCAGCTCTCAGGGTGCAGACTCAAGTCATGGTCAGTGTTGTTCCAAGCTCCACTCCAATGCCACCTCCTTCTTCTTGATGAGAATCCTGGAGTGGTTTGTGCTCAAAGGGACCTCCAGTTCCACCCCCTGCCACGGGCAAGGACACCTTCCACTATCCCAGGCTGCTCCAAACCCTGTCCAACCTCACCTGGAATGCTTCCAGGGATGGGGCAGCCACAGCTGCTCCAGGCAACCTTTGCCAGGGCCTCACCTCTACACAGGGAAGGATTTCTTCCCAGTATTGCACTTAAATCGCCCCTTTTCCATTTTGGAGCCATTCCTCCTGTCCCAACCCCACAGCTCGTGACGAGTTGTAGCCCTGGCCGTGCCAAGGCCACCTGTGGCCATCATGATGCCACCTTGGGCACCTCCTGTGGCCTCCCCCTGAGGATCCCCTCTGAGGTCTCCTCCTGTGACACCTTCTTGCCCTTCAAGATGTAAAATTTATCTGCTGACGCTTGTTCCTAAACCCAAGCACAGCAGCTCAGCCCTTTGGGGCTGTCCCACACCTCAACAGTGGCCCTTTGTGACAGCACCATCGGTGACTTCACAGCAGCCACGGGACACGGGCCACGTCACAAAAGCAGGACAGGGGGCCCAGAGCCGCAATCCCATGGTGAGATCCGTGGGGCTCAAACACCACTATTCCAGCCCCACCACGGCCCCGCTGCTGAGGTGCGGGACAGCCCCGGAGGGACAAGGAGCCACGGGATTTTGGGGAGGGGTACCTAAAACAGACTTTGCGCCTCTTGCAGGGCGAGATGTCATCGAGGGAGGACACTCCAGAGCCGGCCACCTCTGCTGCCAGCACCAGCCAGGCTGGCCCGGCCGCGCCGCAGGACAACAGCCAGGAGGACGCCGCATGCCCGGAGTGCCGGGACATCAGCACCGCGTGCTCCAGCTCATGCCGGCACTGCTTCTGCTGGCTGTGCCTGTGGGACTGGAGCCTGGGCCAGGCCGTGTGCCCACGGTGCCAGCGGCCCACGCGCCACCCCTACCCCCAGCACGTGGCCCTGTACCACGAGGTGCAGGAGCAGGTCTACGAGAGGAAGCGGAGATGGCGCGGCCGCTCGGCGTGGCGGCCGCGCAGCTGCTCCGCACCCTGGGAGAGAAGGCCAAGGAGATCCATGAGGTGGCCCCGCGATGGCCGCCGGGAGTCTCGGCACGCCCGAGGCAGCGACTCCCCGAGGAGGAGGCAGTGGCAGCTGCAGAGGAGAGAGGACGCACCCGAAGAGGGACAGACTCTGAGATCTGAATGGGACATCCCAGCCTCCTCGCAGGGACATCGATCCCGGCGCAGGGCCCGCAGGTCATGGAGCCAGCAGGAACGGTCGCGGGGCCACCGCAGGTGGAGCAGGGGCAGGGAGCGCTTCCGTGGCTGGGACAGGCCCTCCAGGAGAGAGCAGGACACCCAGACAGGCTCCCCCGAGCGTTCCACAAGGCAGCGGCGCTGGAGGAGCTGGAATGCTGATGACAGACACGCTCCAGGGCCCCAGCACGATGTCCCCTCGGAGAGGAGCGAGACACACCAGTGGGAAGATGCTGATGCCTCTGGACAACGGCACACAAGAAGGAGGCAAAGCCGGGGCAGATCCCACAGGAGAGGCCAGAACTCCCAGGCAGGCTCTCAGGGAATGGAGCCCCACGAGCGCTCCGCAAGGCAGGGGCGCTGGAGGAGCTGGAATGCTGATGGCAGACACACTCCAAGGCCCCAGCGTGACACCCCCGAGAGGAGGAGCGAGAGACACCAGTGGGAAGACCAGAATTCCTCCAGGCAACAGCACGCGGCAAGGAGCCGAACCCGGGGCAGATCCCACAGGAGAAGCCAGAACTCCCAGAGAGCCTCCCAGGGAATGCTCCACAACCACGCCACAAGGCAGAGGCAGTGGAGGAGCTGGAATGACGACCAAGAACAAGCTCCAAGGTCCCAGCGGAACATCCTGGGCTCCTCAAGGAGGAGCTGGCACTGGTGCAGGGATGCATAGCCCACCCTCCCAAAATGGGAATTGCTATGCTCAGACTCAGCCCAGGGTGTTCAGGCAGGTTTTGGTGATCTCCCAGGATGGAGCCACCAGATTCCCCCTGAACATCCTCTTCCCAGGCTTGACTCGCTGCAAATAAACAAATGCCACTTGAGCCAGCACCCCTTTTCTTTTTTTTTTTTTTTTTTTTTTTTTTTTTTTTTTTTTTTTTTTTTTTTTTTGCTACCTCTTTATTCTCCACAGATATTTTGGAGCATCCCACACCCTTTGGTTGCCTTCATGAGTTTCATCCTTTCCCTCTGTGAGCTCTCCCCAGCATCATTAAGTGCCTCTATGGATCAAGGAAGGAACTGAGGGGCTCTTCCCCTCTCCATGCCCCCACAGCCATTCCATGGCTGAACCTGACTTGGATTTTGCTTTTTCTTTCCCTTCAGTTTTATCCAGGGAAGCTTTGCTGGGAGAAGTTAGCACCCCATAGCATTTTTTCAGTGGAGCTACAGCTTGGTACAGGAATATTTTCCCCAAAACCACAATATGTGGCTGATACAAATCAGTGCTGGAGGTGCCCAAGCCCAGCTCCAGGGCCAAAACTTGCCCTAAACTTTCCTCCCAGTTGTCATCCAGTCCCTGTCCCCAAATACCAGGCTCTGGAATTACCCCACTAACCTGCAGTGTCCATTGATCTCCAATTTGGGGTATCAGCATAGCTGATCATCTCCCAAGATGCATATTCAGCATGTGAGATGAGGATTTTGCCTATGGATACATTCTCTGCTGGATGGACGGAGCCTGGTCACACTGGATCCCTCTTGCACTACAAGAAATAATTGGAAAAAAGCCATGAAATTCAACAGCGGTGAAAACCAGGAGCCTGGGCACACAGGAGGTGGGCAAGGATCCTCGATATCCACATCATGCTCTGGTAGAGCCACTCCTCTGCTTGATCAAGTTTATTTTTCTTCCACAGAAACCTGCTTTAAATACACCTGGAATTCACTCATTTTCCCAAATATACTCAGAAGATGGGCTCTTGCTACCTGGAAACCACACACAGCCTCGGGTGGGAGAAGCATTGCTCAGCACAGGAGGTGGCCACACACAGCACCAAAACTATCCTGGTAGTTTTTCCCTTGATTTAATTTTTTCATTAAATACAAAACTTCCCCTCAAGTATGAGCTTATGTTTGTTTATCTCCTGGAAAATCATATCACTGCCTCTCTGAGCATGGTGCCAGGGACCTGGAAATGCTGGATATGCCCACCTGAACGTACACACACAGACATTTCACCAGGAAAACCCTGTTAAAAATGCAGCATTCAGTGGGGATGGATGTTGGTGGCAGAGCCACTGCTTTAGGATAAACAACAAGTAAGAAAATTCAGACAATTTCTGCTGAAGTAAAAAACAAAACAAAACAAAAAAAAGGGGATCTGGGAAAAGTGCAAAGAGGCTGGAAGTCTGAGGGGAGCGCTGCCCTCAGAGGTCTCTGTCCCAGAGCTGCCCAGCCTGGATTCAGGAGGTCTTTACAAACACCGGCACCTCGGCCAGGCTGGCAGAGTAATTCCTGAGCGTGGTGCCACCATCAAACACTCGGGCACTGTTGGTGTCCAGCCAGAGGTGCCCCTCTCCTGGCAGGTAGATGTCCCTCCACGTTTGTCCCTTTTCTGTTATTGGAGCAACCAGGACCTGCAGGGAGAAGAAAAAGAAAGAAAACAGAACTTCAGCAGAGGGAGGATTAGCCAGGATGTGCGTGTGGGGTTGAGATGGTCATCAGGGAATCCTGGAATGGTTTGAGTGGGAAGAGACCTTAAAAACCATCCTGTCCCGCTCCCTGCCATGGACAGGGACACCTTCCACTAGCCCAGGTTGCTCCAAGCTCCATCCATTTTGGCCCTGGACAGTCCAGGGATGGGGCAGCCACAGCTTCTCTGGGCACCCTGTGCCAGGCCTCACCAGCCTCACTGGGAGCTCCTTCCCAATCCTATCTATCTCTGCCTTCTGTCAGCTTAGAAACATTAATGAAGTGCAGTGACATTCCTTTGGCTGGGATTGGGATCATCCCTGCCCGCAGCTTCCCCAAGATTCCATCCAGTTTATATTTTCAAAAACCAGGAGAAAAAACCCCATCAGAAATGTGTTTCTTGCAAAACCTCCTTCCCAGTGATAGAGCCAATGTAATTCCACATTTAGGGAGCATTTTCCC